GGTGGGACAGGGCCGGACTGGCCCACCGGGATACCGGGAAATTTCACGGTGGGCCGCGGCACCTGGGGCCGGTCTGACAGCCCTGATCATTGGGCTGACCGCTCCTGTGCAGCCCTGTAATCCCGGCCGGCCATGTGTGAGCTGTGCGGCCGTACAGAGCCCCATGGGAGCAGGGGGAGCCAGGCAGCCGGCACAGCTCACATATGGCCGGCTGGGATGAGAAAAAAAAAATTGTGGCGGGGCGGGGCTTACGTGCGGTGGGGGTGGAGCTAGCGTGCGGGGGCCTGGCTGACTGCAGCATGGGAAGCAGGAAGGAGTTCCTGCTTCCCTAACAACCAGCCTCCAGGAGCTCCAAGCAGGAGGGAAGAAGCAGGTCAGTGAGTGTGTGACTGTCTGTGAGTGTGTGACTGTCTCTGTGAGTGTGTGACTGTGTGACTGTGTGTGTGTGACTGTCTGTGTGTGTGTGTGTGTGTGACTGGGTGTGTGTGACTGTCTGTGAGTGTGTGACTGTCTGTGTGAGTGTGTGACTGTGTGACTGTCTGTGTGTGACTGTGTGTGTGTGACTGTCTGCCTGTGTGTGACTGTGTGTGTGTGTGTGTGTGTGTGTGACTGTCTGTCTGTGTGTGAGTGTGTGGCTGTCTGCCTGTCTTTGTATGTGTGGCTGTTTGCCTTGGTGTCAGTGACTGTCTGCCGGTGTGTGTGTGTGTGTGTGTGTCTGTCTACCTGGGTGTCAGTGACTGTCTGCCTGTGTGTGTGTGTGTGTGTGGCTGTCTGCCTGGGTGTCAGTGACTGTCTGCCTCTGTGTGTGTGTGTCTGTGCGCGCATTTGCTAGTGAGGGAGCCTCTGTGTGTGTGTGTGTGTGCGCCTGCTAGTGAGTTTGTGTGTGTGTGCCTGCTAGTGAGTGAGCTTGTATGTGTGTCAGTGAGCTTGTCTGTAGGGATCATGTGTGTGTGTGTTAGTGAGCTTGTCTGTAAGGAGCATGGGTGTGTCGGAGCCTGTCTGTGGTGAGCATGTGTGTACAGTGAGCTTGTCTGTAGTAAGCATGAGTGTGGTCGTGAGCTTGTCTGTAGTGACCATATGTGTGTCAGTGAGCTTGTCTGTAGTGAGCATGTGTGTGTCAGTGAGCTTGTCTGTAGTGAATCTGTGTGTTAGTGAGCTCTTCTGTAGGGAGCGTGTGTGTCAATGGGCTTGTCTGTAGGGAGAGCGTGTGAGCATCAGTGAGCTTCTCTGTAGTGAGCGTGTGTGTGTGACAGTGAGCTTGTCTATAGTAAGCTTGTGTGTGTATCAGAGTTTGTCTGTACTAAATTTGTGTGTGCGCCAGTAACCTTGTCTGTGTGTGTCATTGTCTGTCAATGAGCCTATTTGTGTGCATCAGTAAGATTGTCTGTCTGTGTGTGAGTATGCTTTGCTGTATAATTTAATTACCCTAAAAGAACTAATATATATAAATATTGTTGCATCACCAGGGCTCCAGTATCCAGTATATATATATAGGCAATTGAAATAGTTGATTTCCTTAAAATTTTACTTTTGTTGAAATATTTAAGAGAAGATCAACGTTCAGTCCCTCTTGTGGACTTGCATCAGGATCATGACGAAAGTCCACAAGAGGGACTGAAACATTGATCTTCTCTTAAATATTTCAATAAAAGTTACATTTTCAGGAAATCCAAGCGTGCAGCCAACTATTTCAATTGCATATATATATATATATATATATATATATATATATATATATATTGTGATCCTTGTTTGCAGGTAGCACGGTCCTCTAGGGCAAAAACATGCACAGTCCTTGTAGTTGCAAATACTTCAGGCACTTTATTTGTAAGTTCACACAGGATACAGCAGTTAAATGAAAACATAAATGTAACAGAAAACCCTATAAACAAACACCTAGCTCGTCTGAGCACTAACTGACTTTAGTTCCCTATCTCTCAGGGTTAAACTAAACACAATATTGCACCAACCTTATTAGAGAGTAACGCTCTGCTATCTAACCTGTTGCTTTCCTTTCTGCACTCCCAGTGCTCCAAGCCAGCCTTGCCCTGACTGCTTTCCTTTCTGCACTCCCAGTGCTCCAAGCCAGCCTTGCCCTGACTGCTTCCTTTCTGCACTCCCAGTGCTTAGTCTCCTTGACTCTATCTGGAGAGAACAGCCTCTCTCCTACCTGCTTCCTGGGAGGAAGCCAGCAATCCCTCTCCTTTACCTGCCTAGCAGGGAGGAGTTTATTCCCACTGCAACAGCTCATTAACTGCAGCTGAGCAGTGGGTTGGAGACGATCCAAAAAACCCTGGCCTGGATACATGTCTCCCCAGAAAACCACTAAACTGTGGAGTGGAGCATTGGCCCACCCTTCTCTCCAAATGCTCCACCCCAGGGGCCCATAACTAAACAGTGTTTTGTGTTGTGCAACACACAAACTACACGTACTTCCCCTGGGGTTAAAAGGCCTATCTGCCTTCACTTTATCACATATCCTCCCCCCCCAGCTCAGACCCATCGGGTCGAGCGACCTTAGAACACAAACCACGAACGTTCACGTCACCTGGGGCTGTACCAGCCCTGACTTGTTCCTCAGTTACAGGATGTGGCCTATTGTAGATGGCTGCTACCTTGCTCCCTTGTAGTTTAAGGAACCCCCACCCAAGCGGATAATCCAAATAGTTAGCTGCCTCAAATCCTAGATAACAGTTAGCAGTCAGACCGGCAGCCCTTACATTATTCACATCTAATTGGACCTTCATCAGGTGTACTTCCAAGTCCACCCTGTGAATCGCCACATCACCAAGGTAGGCAGCTGCATTCTCTCTGTTGGGCCAAAGTATCCTATTCATATGCGGAAAGGGGGCTGGTGCACTATGCAACCTGAATGGCAGTACTTTATGTTGCCATAACCCCTTGGGAGTAGAAAACGCTGTCCTTCCCTTTGCTTTCTCTGTCAGGGGAACCTGCCAATACCTTATGACCAGGTCCAAGGTACTCAGAAACCTGGCCTTACTTATACGCTCTTGCGTTTGAGCTACATGTACTACAGGGCATTTAACTTTTACTACCTCTGTGACAAACTCTACCTCTGCCATGGGGTAGGAGCGGGTTTCACCATGTGTACCCACAATATCAATCACTTGTCTTAAATCACATTTTTCTGGCTGGAGCAGAACACTTTTCAAAGTAACATCACTCCTTGAATCTATCAATGTTTGTGCACTCTTCTCTACCACCATCACCACTTTTAGCTGTAATGGGACTTTTGGGTACGTTCTACCATCATAGTTATATTGTCCCAGACTCAGTATCAGGTTTTGTTCTTTCTTTCCAGTTTCCCGACTTATTTGGTTGCTAGCAGATCTAGGCTGAGGCTCAATACTGTGTGGCTCCTTAGCAGCCAAGTTCCCCTCAATCATCATCCGCTTCCACATCCACAGCAGCTTCTGGTTTGATAATCTTTCAATGTCCGAGTTACTTCCCAATGCAAACTTTACAAAAGGTTTTGCGTGTAACTACCTTTTCTATATCATTTATACGTATATCACTTATGATTCCTTCATGAGCTGAAGTGTCTGGGTGCTCAACCTCTTCAAGACCTGGTTCTGTCACCAGCTCATCCATCATCAGTTCTGCGAATTCCCGGGAGCCTTCTTTGCTCCCTACGGCTAATGCTACAGGTCTCATCTCTATATCCTCAGGGGGTTGGCCAGGGAGGCTGTCTGGAGCACCCGCCTCCTGCATGAATGCAGCCTTTGATCCCAGCTCCATCCTATCATGCTCGGCCTGGCCTGGTATGCAGCACTGTTCTTCTACCTGAGGCCCAGACTCCCGGCTTAGCTCATCTCTCCTTTGCCTGGCTTCCTCCCCAGGGGTATCCTCCGAATGCTCTGCCTTGAGTGGCCACCTCTCACTGTCAGAAATGCTTTCCTCTGGGCTGTCTGGCAGTCTCCCTGCTCCCTCGGGGTTGTCCGGAGATGCAGTCATGGCCTCTGGCTGGGTCATGACAGCCCCGGTATCAAACAGCCGGTCAGGCATTCCGAGTTCCACCTTTGATTCCATGATTGTGCTCCCAGAGTCTGGCAGCTGTTCCAGGTAGTCAGTGCGCCCAGGCCGTGTAGCAGTAGTCTTTGCCAGCAGATCAAGTTCTACGGCTCCCGAAAAATCATTCAAAGTCTTTGTAGCAATACCAGATGTCTTTGAAATATTTAATTCTGCTACGCCAATGTCACCTACTTTGTGACGTTCGCCTTGGTCTGGCTTAGCTGCGGACGTGCCCATCTTATCACAGCTTGGTTCTGTAACTGTCGCTCTCTCTTGGCTTAGATCAGAAGCGGCTACTTTGCCTTTCTTGTTTTTACTTCGTTTTGCCACTACGTCTCTGCCTTGCTTTTCTCTGCCAAACTGTTCAACAGCTGGTCGACATCTTTGGGTAGCCTCTGCTACTAAACAGTGCACAGCATTTTTGAGCTCAACTGGGGTGCTTTGCTTCTCTCCATTTTGCTCAGCTTCTTCTGTTGTCTTCTCTGACTCCCCAAGTCAGTCTGCTTTTCATGCCTTTGACTTGTTCACTTGGGTGTACATCAGGGGCTTCTGCTTCATTTTTCTTTCCCTGGCTGTATTCATTAGCTTTACTTACACCTTCTGGGTGTTTTTTGCTTACCACCAACTCTTTTTCAAAGACCTCTTTATCTGTTGTGATGCCATACAGAGCAAGTTTGAGGCTTTCATGTGAAGCTGCAACGTTTTGATTTTCAAATAAACACTTGTCAACTTCAGTAATCAGTTTGTCTCGTTCTCCCTTCTGATTCCTCTGACCTCTCTTACTTTGGCGCATGTCATCACTGTCACCATCACTGCCTCTTGACAATTCCGGGTTTTCCTTTAGATTTGCTGGTCTCATTACT